TAGGATGGTCATAAGCTACTTCAAATGATCTAGGACTTTATATATTCATGCATAGAAATGGATTTTTGATAACACATCAAGTCCACAAAATTCAATTAATTTGCTCTGAAGAAGAACATAAAGCATGATTAGATATATAAATGATGTGTTCAAAGAGAAAAAGGAAGTACCATAATATGGTAGTACAAAAAAATGGATGTAATTATAGAAAGAGAAGTTAGAGAGAGAAAGGACATGGTTAGAGAGAAAAGACTCAGATAAATGATATTACGTTGTTGTCAGGGAGAGAAAAGACACGATTAGAGGATTGCTTAATATAGATTGAACTCAAATCATGTGCAGAGCACGTGCACTCTACTAGGAAAACTAAATCTTATAAACTTATAAATATTTTAGAAGTTATTTTTTTAAAATATTTTACATAAGTTTTAATCGGTTTTACAAATTTTCTATTGCATTATTCTTTTTCCCTCAAGATAAAATTTAAGCGGTCTCCCATTTATTGAAGTCTATTGATGCTCAAAATTTATGCTGAATGCACATGTTAATTTGGTTTGAACAAAACACAAGATCCATAGGTACAAGCGATAGAGAAACCACCGGTCAACCCAATTTATGTAAGTTTGGATATTATTAGATAGATAAAGGGAGAGATAATGCACAAATAACGTCCACTTTTTATGTGAGTGTACTCCTAGATATATCCAAGCCCGAATTACCGATAAAAACCTAAGTTATAATCTTAAAAATCCTCTAAATAGATATTTTCCCTCTCAACAATGTGGGACCATCATACCTGACTTCCTTTATGGGTTTTGGGAATCCTGTATACCTCAAAATGAGTTTTTACAAAACCTAGTTTTGAATCAAAATAGTGTTTAGCTCGAGTTTTCCCATATCTCCAAAATGACTCAAAACCAGAATACAGATTTACCCCCAAAATACATGGATTACTTTTATTTCATTTTTTGTTAATTCCCATGTTACTCAAATACCACGCCGCCCGTTGCTCCTTTTTTACTGTATTTTATTCCTCATCTCTCTTTGTTTGCAGTGCCCACCTCTGCCATTGAGAAGCAGTACACAGAGAGCCCTCTCTCTGCCATCTCTCACACAGATTTTTATCAAGAGCTCGAAAAATCTATTGTTGGTGGAATTATTAGTAGGTCGACCTCCATTGTTCCTGGGTTTTTTCGAGGGTCATCAACCTCCCATCTTCCATTAACATCAGAGCTCCAGGTTTTTTTTTTTTTTTCTATAAGCCTATTTCACTTGTGGGTGTAGATATGTAAATTTAGGGTTTCTTTGTGCAAAGATCTTCTAAGATCCGGTGATATTGGTTGTTATCACTTTGTTTAGTGCTGAAAATACTTGATTTGGTTTATCATATGTGGGAGAAATTCTAGGTTGCCCATATTATGGAATCATAGAGTTTCCTTATTTTTTTGCATTACTCTGTTTTTCTGTGTTTATTTGTTATTCATTTGATTTTGTGGGTTCCTTCTCCATAGTCTTGCTTTTTGTAGAAGTCCCAATTGTAAATTATGAATTTTAACAAAAGCCCAAAATTTTATTGGATTAGTGTTTGTTTGTATATAGGGTTTCACTTCCAGTCATTCTCTTTTTAAACTTCTGCTGCAATATAATCTTCTTGTTTTCTGTATAAGTTTTCATTTTAAAAAAAAGAAAAACAAAAGACAAGGTGTCTAGATTAAATGATTTTGTTTAATGGATATGGAGAAAGTTTGTGATCTCTTAATTGTGATGAGGTGGGTAATGGTAATGTGTGGTACTAGATTGAACAAGTGGAAGCATGTTTGGGTTTTGACAGTAATTAGTATAGAGTGCAAGGTAATAAGAACTTTAACAAATCTTGGTTCTTAGATAGAGTCATTTAGAAATATATGTTGTTATATGCTTAAATTGGGTCACACATATCATTAACATGTGGCATTACTTAAATTGGGCCACGCATATCATCAATTAGATATAACATGCTTTAGATCTGGCAACCAAATATGTATCCAGCCAACAGTGAATTGTTTTTCTTTTCAAAAGGCAAACTTGTGCCTAATAGAGCCAAATGACAAGAGGTATTATTCTTAAGTTGTTAGGTCAAAGTTTGTAAGGCTGTTGCTTAGCTGGTGGATGGGATTTTGAATTTGCTTATAAAGACTGTCATGAGCTACTCCTGGCGAGTGAGAAGGTTAGAATTAATGATCATTGTCATCTGTTTTGTATTCTAACATGAGTGAGTCCTAATTGTAGTGCACACCCCATTAGTATATTGGGGATAATTGTAGTGTAGTGCAATACGAATAATTGATATTTGAATGTTGGGGATAATTAAGGCAATGTGGGGATAATTGTATTCTTTCTAGTTAGTTAAGGCAATGTGGGGATAATGTAAACTATGTTGTTACATGAACTTTTGTATCTATGTGCATGCATTGTGATCTATTGTAATACTTTTATTAGGAAAATTTCTATTCAAACAATTTTGTGTTGCCTATATTAATGCTTTTATTATAACGAATGCTAATAAGTGTTGCCTAAATATCGTTTTTACAACCAGGATGGCTAACGTTTCTGTTAATCTTCCAAATGGCGAAGAAAAAAGCATTTTCAAATCAAGCAAGAACATAACAAATATTTGTAAGAGAGCATGGTAGAAATGGGTGCTACAGACTTATGAAAGAAGGATTGGATAGAAATATGCAGCATGATGAGTGAGGAGTATGGACACGTATTTCGCAGAGATAAGCTAAAAAACAGGGTCAAATGTTTGAAGTCTAAGTATAGGAGAGTTAGAGACCTCCTTTAAAAAACATGGTTTCCATTTTGATTCAATTTCTAGGAGAATAGGAGGGCCCGGTTGGGATGAGTATGTACATGTAAATTTCAAATACATGAGTAACTTTTACTTTGAAAAACCTATAGGTTGGGACAACTATTGATCTTTTTAAAATTACATGTGCTCAGGCTAATGAAGATCAAGGGAAGTGGATCGACATTGTTCTATCTCCTAAGGAGCTCATGGATCGAGTTTTCGAGGATTAGTATAACGTCGGCCATGGAATATTTTATTTTGATTAATATGATTGTGTTCTTGTGATAAGAACCCATGTGAAGTGTACTTTTCGACTTCTTCTAAGGGATATTGTATTTAACTTTTCATTATGTAACTTCGTAATCTTTTTTTCAATCTAATGAGATGCAGTATTCTAGATATGATGTAATATAGGTCGTGTAC